GTCTCAAAACGAATAAAGCTAACGGTCCTGATGGAATTCCACCCATTATCCTCAAAAAATGTGCACCAGAATTAACACCGATTCTCTGCAAGTTGTTTACCATCTCGTACAGGTCGGGTATTTTTCCATCATGCTGGAAGACAGCTAGAGTCCAACCAATCCCCAAAAAAGGGAACAAGAACCTGCCCAACAACTACAGGCCCATTGCCCTGTTATCAGTAATCTCCAAAGTGATGGAGAAAGCCATCAATATTGAGCTTATCAAATATCTGGAGAGCTCAGGAATCATCAATGATAGACAATACGGCTTTCGCCACCGAAGATCTACTGGAGATCTGCTTGCCTACGTCACCCATTTATGGCAATCTTCAATAGAAAAACACGGGGAATCTCTAGCTGTCGCGTTGGACATATCGAAAGCATTCGACCGTGTTTGGCACGAAGGACTCCTCCACAAACTACCATCATACGGCTTACCACCTCAGCTATGCCATCTCTTATCGAGTTTTCTTTCAGGCAGATCGCTTCACGTGGTAGTGGACGGTGTATCGTCTGATACCATTGGCATCAATTCCGGCGTTCCACAAGGATCAATTTTGGCACCAACATTATTCCTGCTTCATATCAATGATCTGTTGGGAGTAACAACTTGCCCCATCCACAGCTTTGCAGATGATAGTACCCTCCATAGTGCTTTCTCTTCCAGAATTCCCATTTCTTCCCAGGAAACTAAGACCTCACGGCGCAGGCAGGTCAATGCTGTCAATGAAGATCTTGCTGAAATCACAGCCTGGGGAACAAACAACCTAGTTGAATTCAACGCCACCAAAACTCAAGCCTGCATTTTCTCTAGAAAGGCGGAACTCAGTATGCCCGATATTGTAATGTCTGGCTCCACCATCCCCACCAAGCCCACCATATCTATGCTCGGTATTTCCATCAGCAACACTCTTTCATGGGATAATCATGTCAGATCCATCGCAAAAGCTGCTTCCCAAAAACTCGGATTCTTGTTCCGTGCGAGAAACTACTTTATACCTCAACAGCTTCTCATGATCTACAAAGCGCAGATACGGCCTGTTCTAGAATACTGTTCCCACATATGGGGTTCAGCACCAAAACATACGCTGATGCTCTTAGATTCCATCCAGAGAAGAGCCATTCGCCTGGTGGGTGACGTCACACTCACTCACTCTTTGGCATCATTAGAACACCGTAGAAAGGTCGGCGACCTTTCACTTTTCTATCGATACTTCCACGGGAAATGTTCTTCGGAAATCTCTGCTATCATCCCTTCACTAGCAATACCAATCAGACGAACTAGACAAGCCCAGTCAGCACATCCTTTCGTTGTCAACCTCGAAAGATGTCGAACAGCACTTTATCAAGACTCCTTCATCCATAGAACGGCTAGGCTCTGGAATTCATTGCCTGTGGAAGTGTTCCCAACAACATATAATCTCCAAAAGTTCAAAAAAAATTCCAATACCTACCTCCTGTCCCTATCCTCCCTAGGAACGCACGATGTTCTTTGAACATTATAGGGATTCCCTCTCGTGCGCTCCAAGCGATAAAAAAAAAAAAAAAAAAAAAATGTATGTGTATGCAAAAATAAATCTAGTAGTCACTGAAAAAGTCTTCTAGCAATAAGAATGAAGGGGGCCTTATTTCTTCGGTGTGTCACCTGAATAATGAATGAAAATTGCTTGACTGCAATGATTTTTTTGAGATTGGTTGTAGGAAACAAATATTCATATTTATAATTCATCATATCGTGAATGTACTAGTTTTGAGGTCTATAGGATTATCCAATAAAGGTGAAATAACATATTTTGTCATGATATAAAAATACTTTACCCCAACACTCCCTATCTGATGATAAATTTACAAACCATAAAGGATAACAGAACATTTTCGAGGAGGACATCGTTCTAAACGATTTTCAGCGCTGCGGCGTTGCCGCTTCTATCGAAAAGTAGCAACAACGTTGTTATTTGTGGTCTAGCGGGAATGATTACAGAGATATAGGGTGTTCAACAGATGCAGGAGTGATCAGAATTCTGTGTGAATCAAAAGTTAAGATAGGGACATGTAAGCCGTTGTGACCAATGATGAAAAATCTCGATTTTGAACACCCTATATCTCTGTAATCATTATCGCTAGATCCCAAGTGTGATGCATTGATGTAATCAGCTCTTCAGAGAACAACAAAGTTGTTACTATTTTTCGTTGAAAGCGGCATCGCCGCAGCGCTGAGAATATTGCTGCTACAACTTTCCTCTTTTCTTGAATTTCTCCATATTGTATTTGGTTTCGATAATTTCAGTTATCAGCATACCAAATAATATTCAATATATTCTTCACTTGTCTTTTTATTCTTAATCTCAATCAGACAAACACAATTCAATAGGCGAGTGGAATAATTTTTTTTTAATATAGAATCATCACTCAAATACCTTTCAATGTCATATTTTCTAATTATTTTTCGGTCGATTTTTAGGTGCTGAAAACATCAATAATGTCACGGTAATTTTCAAACGGCTAGAAATTTACCGCAAATAAAAACTGACGTCACGATTTCGTAAGTTGGGGTAGACCATATAGCACAGTTGCCATGTGTTGAAATAGGATTGGGAACTTCAGATACAGGGTGGCCCACGGTCGATGGTACCTTAGACGTATACGGAAAACGGTACATTGGATTATCCTGAAAATTTGGTTACTCTGATAAGCGTTTGTGATCTAACGATTCAAAATATTTTCAGCGAAGCAGCGTTGCCACTTTTACCAAAAAGTAGCATCATCTTTGTTATTTCAAATGGAACACCCTGTATTTTATTGCGTTTTTAGATTCTTCTCGAAGAGCTGATTTCATCAATGTATCACACTTGGGGTCTAGCAGGAATTATTACAGAGATATAGGGTGTTCAGAATCGACATTTTTCGCCGATAATGAATAGTTTCGACACAAAAAATTCCTGAAATTGAAAAATCTCGATTTTGAACACCCCAAATCTCTGTAATAATTCCTGCTAGACCCCAAGTGTGATACATTGATGAAATCAGCTCTTTGAGAAGAATCTAAAAACGCAATGAAATACAGGGTGTTCCATTTGAAATAACAAAGATGATGCTACTTTTTGGTAAAAGTGGCAACGCTGCATCGCTGAAAATATTTCGATTCGTTAGATCACAAACGCTTATTAGAGTCACCAAATTTTCAGGATAATCCAATGTACCGTTTTCCGTATACGTCTAAGGTACCATCGACCGTGGGCCACCCTGTATATTAGTTATTCAATAATTCATAAATTCAAAATTACCTCAAACTGTTCCCTTAGATTTGTAGCTCATTGCTTATAGAAAATGCGAAAAAAAATCGATTATCTTCTTTAATTCATTTATTCCCATTATTATATGAATATGTTTTCAGTTCAAGTATTTTTATTATGGAAAAACAATTTATACTTCATCTCTTTCACACACAGGTCACTAACCTATGTGAAGGAGATACAATATGAAATATACAGGGTGTCCCAGAATAACGTTCGTATATTCCGGGAGGTCGATCAACAGATAAAACTAAGGAAAAATGTTCCTATCAACAGGTGTCCGAAAATGCTTCCCATTGGCGCTACAGCCCTTTGAAGGTTGGTCCCTAATTAGTGCTATTTAAACTTTTGACATGTATGCCTAACTGAGGCAAGCCTACTTGGTTGGTTGGCGAAATTTGACAAACTCATTCAGCAAGTGAATTCTTTAGGACATCAAAATAAAAATTACAGTTTTCTTGAAAACGGTTCGTTTTACGGCATTCCAACAGGAGTACCTTTTTCATGAAGAAGTGTTTGGAAAATCATATTAATAATAATAATAATAATAATGGGTCTTTATTTTCATCTAAATCATTAATACAACTACATATTTTAAATGGGGCGACATTCAACATCGTTGCTCTTCCATGCAACCCCGAAAAGTACCATTTCAAATTGCTGTCGTAAATGTTAAACTAGACATAAAAAAAAAAAAAAAATTAGGCATTAAAATTAGAGGCTAAAAATACTAAATCAACGTACTAAATCAACGTACAAAATATCGTGGCAATACAGAGCAGATATTCAACTTAGCTGTCAGCTAATATTTTCTAAGGTTCACAGGCTCATGTGACCTAGCAACTTCAAAATAGAGTGCGCACCTCAACTAGGTGGGATTTGACTTGTCTCTTAAAGGAGATTATATTTGGAGCATCTTTTATCGAACTTGGTAACTCATTGAATATTTTCGTGGCAATATATTATTATGTAAATGATCTCTGGTACTGAGCTGTTCTATGATTCGGTATTACATATAAATCATTATTTCTGGTTGATCTGTCGTGTACATTTCTTCCCCTGATTAATTTATCATGCAAGTATTGCGGGATTTTATATTTATTTATTTTGTAAATTAAAGAGCAGATATGGAGAATGAACCGTTCATTTAAATTTAACCAATTAGATTCAGCAAACTGTGAACTGAAGTGATCGTATTTTCTCAAATTGTAGCTGAATTTTACACAAGAATTTTGCACCTTTTGAAGACTTGTTTTGTCTCTATCTAAGAGGGTAGAGGGAGTCGCAGAGTTTTAATTTTAAGTTTGTGCTGAGAATATCTCTATACATATAAAGTAACTTCAATTTATAATATGATTTTTTAACTAATATATTCACTTGACTTTTGAACCTCAAGTCTGAGTCGAATAATATTCTGGTACTAGCAAGAAGATACAGTGTGAGACAAAAAAAATTGGGACATTTTTATAGCACGGGTTACAAGTTTCGCACCTCCCTGTATATTATATCATTTTTTCCATTCCTTCAAACGATTTATGAGATCAAATTACCTATTGGTACAAAATTTCATGATTCTAGGATCAATGGTAACAAAGATAATTGAAGAAAACTGCATTTAGGGACCAACCTTCAAAGGGCTGTAGCGTCCTTAGGAAGCATTTTCGGACACCTGTTGATAGAAACATTTCTTATTTTTATCTGTAGATCGACCTCGGAGTATACGAACGTTATTCTGGGACACCCTGTATACACATGTAAATGATATTCGATGACAAAATGTAGATTTTACTCGATTCAATAAATGAATAAATAAATAAATAATGAATTTGTGAAAATATTAATTATATCAATTCACACTCGAGGACTTTTGAATCGGTGAACGTGACAACACGGCGCACGACTTGTGGGCGTGGTCTTGTCAGTTCTCAGCATTCAACACAATGTTGCCAAGTCTCCAATATTTACATGATATATTGTTATGGGGACTAAGAAATATTTAGATATGCTGGTTGTCGAAAAAGTAAAGAAATAACTATAATATCGCGGGTTCCTCCTATTATGTATTCAACCTTGCTTCATGAGGGGAAATGGAATATTATCTGAAACTGACGAATGGCGGCCATGAAGGTTCGTTTGAAATGATCCCTGAAATTCAACAATTGAGAAGTATTGCAAAAATTAATTTAGCTTCCTAGCGACATAGTGGAGTGATTGAATGCCATTAACTCACTATCAGTCCACTCGCCCATTCTTTAAATGCAATCTATGTTCCCATCTGAAATTCAAACCGCGAGATTCGATTCTTCGAACCAACTCGAAAAAAACAATCAAAACGCAGATATCTCACACATACTGGAAGTTATCTTTGTGCCTCAGCAGAGGTTGGTGCTCGATGTGCTCATCCAAATCGAAGCTCGTCAGCCAGTCCTTCTTGTCGGCTTTCCCGACGCCGAAGCACGAACAATCGAAGAACTCGACGAGATTGGCGACAGGTCCGTTGCTGAACGGACTTTTGCCGGAGTTCGCTATGAAATGCGAGTAACGGCCGCGGTTCATCCTCTCGTTCGTCGTCATGCCCAAGCAAGTTATCTACAAGATATATTACATGAACGATTGGAAAATATTGAATAGTTTATCGACTTGTATTATACAGGGTGTTTCAAAAAAACCTGACCCCCTTACTAGGGTAGGTAGAACACTGCAAAATAAGTTGGATTCACTCAGTGTAAAAATTTCGTAACGGCATCCGTTATCAAGATACAAGGTGTTGAAAACATTATTTTTATTCACATTTTTCACGATTACGTCGAAACTACTGACAACATCGTGATGAAATTTCGTGTGGATGTTTCTTGAAATCTGACACATCGCATGCATTTGTTTTGATACCTGACTCTCATAGAGGGCGCTAGTTACACGGTTCGTACCGAGCAGTTTTGAACATAACTTTTTTGAGGTTAGATTTTTCAATCCAAATTTGATGTGAACTTGAACATCATTCAATTTCACACCAAAAAGGTACTCTTGGTAAAACTCGATACTGTGTTCCGTTTTCGGAATATTTCGATTTGAAAATGATGAAGTGGTAACTGTTGCTGGTATGAAACTATGTATTAGAGTGAGTATTATGAAAAACTATCACCTATTTATTGAAAACCGAAAACAACAATACATTTCTGATGCTAAACTTATTGATTTAACAATGAATCACAAGAATAACATCGAAACAGAGTTGACTAAGAACATGGATTACACAGTTTTGTTGTATCTTGAGCAGAAAGTCTATGTTACATAGGTAAATTCACGTCAAGAGCTGTGAGACATAATTGAACATCACTTAAATGACCTAACAGCTGATCCTCCACTGCTCAGAAGAATGATACATTCTTAAAAAAAGAATATAGAATCGTGTATTCCTCGAAACGTAGGACATTTTGAACACTTACTCTCTTACTCTAACTGATTCAATATTTCATGATCCTAGTCAAATATCTCTTAATTTTTCTACTTATGATTCTTTGTTCCATCAATAACTTCAGCACGAGAATAATTTTATTCATTATTCCAAATTTTTTGGGATTTTCTCTCCTCGTTTCTATAAAATAAAAATATGAATATTATTTCAATATACGTGTAGTAAGGACAAATCAGATGATTTGCCCCAAAATGTCACTGCGTTTAAAGAATTTTCCTATCAGAGAGCCTAAAAGAAAAATTCACTAGCTTGTCAGTGACAATTTGTATTGAAAAAATTTTTGGAGAAGGGAAATAAAGGTATATAGAAAAAATATCAAATTTTCACTTATCTTTGGACGTTTCGGGAGCGGTTCTGCTCCCGTTTTCAACATAAGAAGAGATTATTTCAATAGCGAAGTCGTATAATGTCTTGAAGCTTTTCAGTTTTCAATGACAATTGGTGACGTTGGCAATCAAATGAGTTACAGGATGTTTTCATTAATTGAGACAATAACATTGCTTCTTGTTCAGTTGATATAGACAGAACATGGTATTCACTACTAAAATCTGAACATGAAAATGGTAAATTCAAGATCAATTAATGAAAACATCCTGTAACTCATTTGATTGCCAACGTCACCAATTGTCATTGAAAACTGAAAAGCTTCAAGACATTATACGACTTCGCTATTGAAATAATCTCTTCTTATGTTGAAAACGGGAGCAGAACCGGTCCCGAAACGTCCAAAGATAAGTGAAAATTTGATATTTTTTCTATATACCTTTATTTCCCTTCTCCAAAAATTTTTTCAATACAAATTGTCACTGACAAGCTAGTGAATTTTTCTTTTAGGCTCTCTGATAGGAAAATTCTTTAAACGCAGTGACATTTTGGGGCAAATCATCTGATTTGTCCTTACTACACGTATATTGAAATAATATTCATATTTTTATTTTATAGAAACGAGGAGAGAAAATCCCAAAAAATTTGGAATAATGAATATACCACCTCCTCGATTAACCTACAGACAGTATTTAATAATTTTATTGTTTTTGAACCTGAATAAATAGGTAATTGAACTCAATAAAATTCATTTTATACCAGCATCATTAATACTCCATTATTTTCAAATCGAAATATTCCGAAAACGGAACATAGTATCGAGTTTCACCAAGAGTACCATATTGGTGTAAAATTGAATGATGTTGAAGTTCATATCATATTTGGATCGAAAAATCTAACCTCAAGAAAGTTATGTTCTAAACTACTCGGTACGAACCGTGTAACTAGCGCCCTCTATGAGAGTCAGCTATAAAAACAAATTCATGCGATGTGTCAGATTTCCAGAAACATCCATACAAAATTTCATTACAATGTTGCCAGTAGTTTTGACAGAATCGTGAAAAATGTGTAAAAAAATCATTTTTTTAACACCTTGTATCATAAAAACAGATACCGTTACGACATTTTTTCACTGAGCAAACCCAACTTATTTTTCAGTGTTCTACCTATCCTAGCAAGGGGGTCAGGTTTTTTTGAAACACAATCGGGCTACAAGAAAACTACTTTGTTGCTATGCCAAGCTTTCGAAAATTTTTAAATAATATATTGTAATTCACAATTCAATTCAACACTTCTGACTGAGATTATCAATATCTGTTTTCGTATTCATAGTGTATTTCTCATTATTAATTTCAACCATCTCTAAAAACTGTCTTTTCGTAAAAAAAATTTCTGAATGCAAAATTTTTGTTTCTTCGAATTTTATATGATGATCATTAGTGGACTTGTTCAGCGAGTCCACGATTACTTATAAGAAGTCTGCGACCACTTTAATGGCCAGATATCCTGGATGTATGCAAACCGGCTAGCGCCCGGTTATTTTTGCAAGATATGATAATGTATCCACATGCCCGAGCTTCTTCGTTCGTCGAGTGCTTAACCCTTTTTTCGACCGGAAATAGAGGTCATAGCAGGTGCTAGGACTGGTCATGGACGCTCGGAGGCACTTTTTCCCGGTTCCCCGGGCTGTCTGCGTATATCCCTAAAAGGGCATACGAACATATGCTATCGATACTTGTGGTGTCAAGGGCCCATGGTCTATTCATCATTGGCCTCTACAAAATGGAATTGTCAAATTGGAAATCCGACGTTTCTTCTTCGAGCGGCCATCATCAACTTTATTTTTTTTAATACGGACCTGGATTTTTGTTTTATTTTTCGATAGTTTTCGATTTCCTTGATATGATGGTGTACCAAAACAATTCATAAAATGTTTACTTCAGTGAAAAATTGTTCAAGAAAGGTATGGAGATACTCATATTCGTCTAACACAGCGTTTTTGGCACTGAACAAATAATACTTTGAGAAGTTGTAAAAACAGTAGTAGTGAAATCAACAATTTTCTCAACAACTAAAAGAACTAATGAATTTTTTCAAGATGATAAGTGTTCCTTTAATATTCAATCACCAATATGTAAGTATATATATTGTCAAGGAGTATAAATGCCTATGAATTAACATCACTCAAACTCCCGTTCATTTCAAGACCTTTTATCATAAATTAACTTTCCCAAATTGAAACATTCAGTACATTGCAGTTTCGATCAGGTCAGCGGAGTTCATAGACGTCAGTTCCTTTATAATTTGCAAAAAAAACGCTTACCGCGCGATAATACCTAGGTAAGCAGTATCGAAAAGTAACGACCATTCCCATTGCGGAAAATTGCGAACCTAGCATCGATTCCGAATATAAATAGTACCTGAGTCGATAAGGCAATCATTCATTATCAACACAAGTCATTTTAGTGAACATCAAATGAAAACGTTCGCCGTCTCCCCAACTTCAAGCCTGCTGGTCAATCCTCTGCTAGACGTTATAATGTGAGTACTGTTTTTTTCCAAGTGTTTTTTTCCATTATGTTTTTTTTCTTTGCTAACCTGCCATGTGGCAGCATTTATTTATGACCCCTTCTGTTAATTTTATATGAAAACTGTCCGGTCTCTTTATTTGGGGATGAATATGGTTGGGTGGTGAAATGATCAAAACCTCTCGTCAAAGAGCCAAGCGAGTAGCTAAGTCACGACCTATAGGAGGGTCAACATCTGAGTTGCGACAATATCACATAATCGGTGTTTTACTGTGGGATGGAACAAATATTAATTTGAAAAATAGCAAAACACTCGCCAGATAATAAAATTTGGATACTGAAAAAAATGAACATCATTAGAAATTAACCACTTACTTGGTACATCTGACAGATGAACAACATGAAAACCCACACGGAATGGAAGAGGGCGTTCAGCGCGACCCAAGCCACCCACGTGTTACACTGCCCGACAGTGACCATGGCCTTCCAGAAGGTGACGTCTTTCGTCGTTATGTTGCAATTCGGGGCGGTCTGCCAATATGTGAACGAACCGTACAACAGTTGGGCGCACATCAGTACCAGGCTGGCTAAAAATCCTATGAAGTGCTTGTGATTCTTTGCACCTGAAAATACATTAGAAAAATAACTTTTGGTACAGGGTGATTGCCTATACGTTTCACACTTTTAACACTAGACATTTGGTAAACTTGAAAACTCTGATACAAAATCTAGTACCAAATGGTGTCCTCCAAATATTATATCCCCAATTGATATACATATCTATCAAATAGACAGCAATGTGTTGCACTTGATTCGAATAATGTTTCTGAGTTGGAACTCATCAAATGTGGAGTACCACAGGGATCTGTTTTGGGCCCTCTCCTTTTTATAATTTATATCAATGACCTCTTCACTTACATGTCTCCCTATGGCTGTATTGCTTTTGCTGATGACACCACCCTTACCACGTCTGGTAAGGATAGACAAATGCTTTTAAATGAAATTAATCTGGCCCAAGGAAAAGCGGCATCATGGTTTAAAAGAAACAATTTGATGTTGAATTCGAATAAAACTCAACAAATCTATTTTTCTCCAATTGTCTCTAACAAGAACTCAGTCAAATTGTTGGGCATTTTTCTAGATGACACACTGAACTGGTCAGTTCACATAGAGCAGCTTAGTAATGAAATCTCCAAAGATATATTCCTTCTCCGAAAACTGAAGAATATTATTGGCGTTCAGGCTCTGTTATCAGCATACATTCTTCCACTCCCTTTCATATGGAACAATTTTATGAGGAAATAACACAAAAGCCATTGAAATATTTATTCTTCAAAAGAAAGCAATAAGAATTATCGCTGGTGCTGGCCTGATTCACGTACACCATTCTTTAATCCCTGAAAATCATGACGCTACCATCTATTTACATATACCTACTTTTGTTGGATATTCATAAAAATAAAGAAGATTACGGAAAAAATTCTGACTTTCACCAGGAGCTGTCAATTGATCAGGCCAAACAGATTCAGATTGCATAAATCTAGCAAAAATTCTCTGGATGTGAATCTCTACAATGCACTCCCTGTATGTCAGGGACGCGCCTATACAGTGGCAACTGCGTGCACCGCACACGGGCGGCCAATCATGAGATACTAAATACTTCGTTATCTTGAACATAATGTACAGTCGTATTCAATAAAAAAGCGTACAAGTATTGAAACGAGAGGATTTCGGGATCCTATATAGTTCTTGGTGTGTAAAACTAGCTCAGCCAATGCTTTTGTGTTTTTGAGAACCTATGACAACTTTACTGTCAACATTTGGTATACAATCATTCCCGATAGCCCGTTTTATACAGAATAGAATGACGTTAATTTCTCTCTGTAATATACTTGTACGCTTTTTTATTGAATACGACTGTACATATCACTCTTTAGACTATGGAAATCGGCATCAAACTAAGGACATTTTCAATGCACTTGTGGAAGTATCTCAAGATGATACTTTCGATTTACCGACTAAACAAAAAGTATTATCATTGGCTGACAAAATCAATAAATTTCGATTCATCTGTTCCATAGTGATATGGCATGAAATTTTGTTGAAAATCAACATCTGTAGCAAATTCTTTCAATGTTCTACACTCGATATTAAAGTATGTCTTGATCAATTGAATAATTTGAGAATTCTTGTGCTGCATTCCGATCCGAAGGAAACTATTAAAAAAATTTGAAAGATTCTCGGACTGTAGCTGATAATTCAGATTTCGGAACAGACTTTCCAGAACCTTCTAGAAGAAGAAAGAGATCAAAATTGTTTGATTATGAGGGAGAATAACATGTTCTCTCAATGAGAGATTCGAGTCTCTCAAAAATTATAATGAATATCTTGGATTTATTCACTCAGCTTTTGGTAAGGACGTTGATGAAACAAGTTTACTCGAGAGTTGTGAAAATTTGCAAAAAAGTTAACAAATGAAAATCGCCAGGAATAGATTTATTTAATGAGTTAAAATCATTGAAAGTGATTTATCATGGAAATATAGAAAATGATCCATTACAAATTTTACAGTATACATGAAAACAACTTCCAAATATTTCAGTCGCGCTCCGAATTTTATTGACTTCACCGGTGTCAGTTGTCCATCGAATCTGAATTATTAGAAACTATTGATGTCGACGTGCTCATCAAAGAATTTGCTCAGCATAAAAGCAAGAAAAATAATATTTTCACTGTGATATTATCGCTCCTCCATGTGTTATTTTCAAAGTATTACCTGAACCTCATACCTTATTGAATCAATGTTAATTTTGTGTGATTTGTAAATTATTTGTTATGTAAGTAACATAAGTAATGTTTATTTATGGTATGTGAATGAAATCATCTCTTGAGACATCTTAAAACGAGTAAGATATATTATTTGTTACTTTCGGCTCGACTTTCGGGTTCTCAAAACTCGTTTTATTTTCAATTTTTTCAAGGGCGGCCCAGAACATATTGCACACGGGCGGAGAAGAGTCTAGGCGCGCCCCTGCTGTATGTGTAAAAAATCTTAATTCATACAACTTTAAGAAACATTTGAAAGATTTCTTAATCTCGAATGCCCTCTACTCCATAGATGAATATATGGCTGCCCTGCGGTCTGGTGCTCAATAATGATACTATCTATAGTGTATTTTTTTTTATTAAATATAGGCAATTTACATATATGTATATTTTTTGTATTTGTGCAACTTTTTCAATATGTTTTTAATACTTAAGATTTTTATCTGTACCTCATTTTTTTCGAAGCTTGACTTGTCTTATTTGTATCACATGTACACCTAAAAGATCAATAAATTATCTATCTATCTTATCTATCTATCTATCTATACGGGAGGTCGGGAGGTGTGAAATTTCATTCTTGCAAATGGAAAACCTATTCCAATTCAGCTGAAATCTCTACATGCAAGACATGCATATTTTCAAAATCAAACAAAACACTCTTTCAAGATATGCAATGAAATATAGGGTGTTCCATTCGAAAAAAAAAAACTAAGTTTTCATACCCCTGTAGCGAAACACCCTCCATTGCCATTTTTTTAATATGTCGTGTCGTGTAAAAATTATTCACTCAGTATAGGGTTCTACTTATCGGTGGTATCTTTTTGTACCATCTCCGTTCGCGTAGAGAAAAATTAGCTGCCTCCGCCGCGCGGATGGGTTTTTGCGCTGTTTTTTTATTTATTCGGGCGTTAAATACCCACTTTTTTCGGTCTTCATTGGATATCAAGACTCCAAAGAGAAAAGTAATCGGCTTCGTATTATGCCCAACTGATTTTTCAGCCAAAATAATTGCAAGCTAAATTGAAAGTGCTCTTGGTTTGAAGAAGGATTCTTTTCGTTGGGAAGATATCCTCTGTGCCTGCATTGTCTTTTAGGTAGGTGGACCTTTACTTTAGACGATATTTTATTATTTTGCCTCAAATGACCTGTGCAGTTTTTCTGTATGTGTATAGTTCAGTAGCGGCTCCTCAGAGGAGGCAGAGGAGGCTGAGCCTCCTCAGAGATTTTCCTTAAACTGATATTATCTATACTTTCTCATTAAAAGGACACCAAAATACATAGATTTTGATTTTATTTCCTGTTTTTAGGTAAATATTTTTGAATTGGCAACAGTGCTTGCCCACGCATCACACGTTGATGCTGTAAATCACGCGTAAAATATTCAACTTGGCAACATCTATAGGAGGCTAGACTCCGTCACATTGCGCAACCAACACGCGCATCGCGCAATGTAAATCACATGGTAAATCCCCGAATAGCACGTGTTTGTTGTCGTGTCGCGACGCGAATTGCGGACAGTCGAGCGCGAATGCAGTGTTTATGTTTGGTTATTGGTTAGGGGCTCTATAAATTTCGGAAAAATGAGTGTCTTAAAAACGATTGCGATTTAGTGGAATACTTTTTGGTGAACCCATTCAGTGCCTTGTCCTATGAAGATAAATTGATTGTGAAAAACAAACGTCCGACACCGACATTAAAAAATCTGATTGTAACAGGTAACAAACAAAATCGTTCATTCAATTCTGATAATTATAAAAAATATATCTGGCTGACGGGATCTGAGGTAAGGAATAAGCTATTTTGTTAGTACTGCGTATTATTTTCAACCGATAAATCATCATGTTGGGGACGATTAGGATATAATGATTTGAAAAATTTGCCTCGCGGATTGGATAGACACTGCAAATCACAGGAACACATCTCTTCAAATATTAAATTCAGGTTAACTGGTAAACAGAATGTCATTAAAGCTATTGATTTGGGTGAGTAGAGAGTTGTTTTTCACAATAAATCTCATCATTCAGCCTCCTCTGTCATGAAAGTCACGAGCCGCCACTGGTATAGTTATTATGTTTTATACCTACAGGGCGCCAAAGATTTTGTATTAGTGTTACCTATTGTTTTGCTGAGCTTGAATTCTGATTATATATAAGTTTGGTTAGATCTTCATTTTGCATTGTCTTTTAGCTCAAAAATTATATCTCAACATCACAAAACTAACGCCGTGTGGCCGGCAGGAACCAATAAAACGGACTATCCTAATCTGGTGTTTTTCTGACTTCTGAGACCACCACACCCTATTTCCCCTGAACTAAAGAGTCTCGTTACACCCCCGAATATGTAATGAAGAAATAATATGTGTGATCCAAAAGATGAAAGGAAAACCTTCTTAGCATTATTAGAATTTATAATACACCTTGAATGTAGATAATGTATGGAGTATAATAAAATATTGAGAAAAAGAGGAAGATACCTGGACAAATAATGACATTTTACACATACCTATACAGTTAGCAACCCAAGGACAATGATGATCGAACCTGGCAACACAATGATTGCATACGGCACAATGTTTGGATCTGAGTGGGCGCCTGACTAAACAGCTGGAACAGAACGAGGAAGGTTCAAATCCACCTGATCCTTTTTCTGCTATCTCTATAATAGTCTGAAAAATACAACACACACTCATGAGAGTATTCATCAATTATTTATTTATTTATTTATTCAAAACATCAAGAACTAAAACACAAATAAGTAATGTTAAATATTATTCGGTAATGTGAAAAAAATAAACACCAGCAAAATCTCGTCACAAGAGCAATAGCAGCATCACCATCTAGCGGAAAAATGGAGAATCAACGTCTCGCTCGATGTGACGTAGAAAAATCATAGTAGGCGGTCGAGTGATTTTTCTCAAGTTTTTAATACGTAAAAATGGCCGAATACAAGCACCATTTACTTATTTCCATCATTCTCTAGACGCTATTTATCAACAATGAAGTTCCATGGTTCTGATTGGTCTGTTCTAATCTATTTGAATAGCCCGCACATAAGTGTGAGCCATATACAGGGTGTCCCATTGGGAAACGAAAAAACTTCAATTTTGTTCAATTCTTCGTGACGACATAACTTGTGAACCACCCAGTATATTCAATTGGAATTTGGTACACAATTTCGCCTCCTTCTACCAGACTCACCTATCAGTCACGAGAAAAATCCAGGACCGGATCAACGAAAATTGATCATATATCTGGACACCAAAAATATCACCCTGTATTTTCGAATTTCCAAAATCCGCTCACATATTTGGAAAGTGCGTGAAAATCTGAATCGTATGATGTACTTTCCATTTTTCCGCATGCTATTTCACTAGGTAATTTCTGATTTTGAATATGAGGTTTCATGCATTTGGATAGGATGAAATATACCATTCGGTTCAGGTTTTTGTGCACTTTCCAAATATGTAAGCGGATTTTGAGAATTCGAAAATACAGGGTGTTCTTTTTGGTGTCCAGTTTATTATCAACTTTTGTTAATCCGGACCTGGATTATTTTCGTGACTGATTTTTTTTTTTTTTTTTTTTTTTTTGTTTCGCCGAGGTGGTTGAAATCTTTTATAGACATCATATGGGTCCAATCCCCCATATGATAGTGTGGGAGTCCCCTCCATGGTATACCCACTAAACACTCCACCCCGTTGTAGGCTCCGACGACACTTAGGCCTAGTGGCCCATTGTATCTCACCTACATGCCGTTATCAATTTCACCACATACGACTCATGGTGCCTATTAAGGGCCACTTCAATATGAAAGACCCTTTTCGTTCAGGTTCCTGAAGATTGCTCTTCCGCTCCCTGTTCTCGTCTACGAAGAAGGCCAAAAGATTTCCTTCTCCTACGAGTACCGGGGGAAGGGGTTGGTCCAGCCCTGTGGTGCCCCCTGCACAGGGCTAAGGCTGTTTACTCTGGGATGTCGCCCTGTTTCCCAGAGGCCCCGTTAGCGACACCATTCCTTGGTGCCATCCATCCATCGCCACGGGTTCCCACAGCTTGGATTAGGTTGCCAGAGCCTCGTTGACCAGTCCTCGACCACCTAGACAAACATCAGCAAATCGCCCCATCCCTGCCACAGATGTCCACAAATTGTCCCATCTAGTCTAGAGATAGCAAAGATGGTCCCAAAATGCTTCATCCGTCGAGCGGCCGCGGTCTGTCCTCCCCACACCACTTGATGGTGAGGTTGGGCTTGGAGGGGAAGAGGAAAAGAGAAGTTGGCCAAGAAAGGCCGATAGAAAGATTGAAAATGGAAGAGAGAAGAGGATATCACCCAAGACGAGTTGAAGTATGGTGAATATCCGGCTAGGGTACCTCGGGTTCACCATTCCCGTACTCACAAGTTGTGAGCCCCTGAGGGGATCGCCAGAGCCTCGTTATCAATCCGCGGCCACACAAGCAGATTTTCACAAATTGCCCCATCCTCGCACTCAGATGTCCACAAAACTGTCCCATCTGAGTGATGACAGCAAAGATGTTCCCAAAATGATCAATCTGCCGAGCAGCCGCGGCTTGTCCTCCCCGCACTATGGTGAGGTTGGGCTTTAGGGGAGAAGGAAAAGAGGAGAAGTGACCAAGGGAGGCCGATGAAGAAAAAGATTGGAAACTGAAGAGTGAAGAGGATACCATCAAAGACAAGTTGAAGATTAATGAGTATCCGGCTAGGGTACCTCGGGATTGCCATTCCCGTACTCACAAGTCGTGAGCCCCTGAGGGGTTCGTGACTGATAAGTGAGTCGCTTTGGTAGAAAAAGAAGGAATTGTGTACCAAATTGCAAAAGAATATACTAAGTGGTTCGTAAGTTATGTCCTCACAAAGAATTGGGCAAAATTGATAAAACACCCTATATCTCGGATATAAAACTTGTGAGACCCTACAAATATGGTATATTCAGAACCACCTTGATGAGCTCTACCCACCGTTGAAGTTTTTCCGTTTCCCAATGGGACACCCTGTGTGTACTAGTCATATGTGAACCATAGCTGTCCTCAGAGCGGGACCCACTTCTGTCTCTATAGGTATAACGAAATCGACCAATAGGCGTTGATGCCGACGTAGGGAAGAAATAATACAATATATGGCTACTTATTTAAAATTTTCCATCCTTCACTTTCCGTCCTTATAGATTCAGAAAGTACCTCTCATTTTGGTCCCATTTTTGTTGAGATATCATATAGGCGATGAGCCATATATAGAAATCAAGTGTCAAGTCCTAGTTTATGGTTATGGTTTCTCATAATGGTAGTCACTGTTGAGAATGAAAAACAGTGAATTCTCATTTTTCCGTGTATTTGTAGAATTAAGGTGATTAAAACTATGAGAACCATGTAAGGTGAGTCTTTTGATGTGGTGTGCTTTAGTAGAACTAGTAGAATACCTACTTAGTTGAATTTGACAAGATGATGGGATGTCAGATTATTCGCGAAAATCACGAACCAATAGATGGCTCTATTGAACGTCAAATCAACGTCAAATTTCCAACTGAGTATGAACAACAAAAACATTGCAAATTGGTTATTTCCAAATCATTTTGCAAAATAGTGAATAACAAGTTGACTTCTTGAAATACGTACAAGGTTTCCAGTATGGAAAAAATTACTTTTTGTGTATTCATCATTGATATCACACTAGAATCCCACAGTTTTCAAACATAAGGAATGATCAGAATGGCCCACTCAACACTTGCATGGACTGGAATGGAACCATACAAGCAATCAGCTATTATAACAATATGGTATGGGTATGAAGGAATAATTGAATTCATCAAGAAATATCACTGGCTCTTATGAAGGAGATGGAATTCTAGTGAAGGGGTTGGAAAAGAAGATATGGTTGGAGAGGCTGCTCAGAATGAACAATATCATCGATTTACATAAACAAGGATCTCCAGCAATTGAGGACTTCAAGTTATTTTCAAGATCGAATCATTGCAACCAACATTTATACAATGATTCTAATTCAAATGTATATTATATTATTATAAGGTAGGTACTGGTTTCTTCATTGTAAACAATAAAAGTTCATGCAATAATTCGAGTTTTTTCATCAGGGAGAAATGAGGTTCTGGAATATGCACTTCAACAAATGAATTATTTTCGAATAAAACATATTTATGAAATTCAAAACAATGGTCGCCATATTTGTTGTTCACACTCGCAAGACTTGTACAGTTAGCCACCAGAGGCCGCACACTTCGTGATTTTCGCGAATTACGCCATCCTACTGTCATTATTACTCTTATTACTCGATTCATCACAATAATGTCTGTCACTACATTTGGCTGAAGGACCTTGGTCGATGGCCATTTGGTTTTAACCAATAAAGAACATTTATTATTATTATTGTCTGTCACTAAATGTTGAAAATCGAGTTGGCAATGTATGAATGACTCCATAGTTGTAGATAAATAACTATATTCACCCTGAACTGAAGCTGTTTCGACGTGCTGACAATTCCTGCATCACCAAGCCACGACTTCAGGAAGCAATACCACAGCAGCCCCGAACTGCCCAGAAACACGGCGGTCATCAGGAAATGCATGACCGGCGCTATGTAGATCAGCCACGTGAAGTAGAACCACGCTTTCGTCGACAAATAGATACTGAGCGGCAACAGAGCCATGAGCCTGTCGTCGTACAAAATTTGGCCTACATAGTGAATGACTATGTATAGGCAAACTAGAAGAAATATTTTGATTAGGATTATGAGGTTGGTGCTCAGTATCGCTCCCGCTATGTAGAATGCCATGAATGGGGTTCCTACCATGCACCACCATCGCATCCTCTGAAAAAATTAGTTTTGATGTAGGAGATAGTATGTACAGGGTTATTCGATATATTTTGACACCCAGCTACAGCCGTCAGATACTTGAAGTGTTCTTTTTGTTTGCCTAATTTATTCAAGTTTCAATTTCATGCCTAAAGCCACTGACGAAATTACAAAACAAAGGTTTAAATCTAAATTTTTTAGAACCAACTGTAAATTTATACAAACCTAGAAATTTCCTAAATCCGACTTTGTTATATAAAATCAAATTGAATTACTTGAGAGCAGATACATTCAAGTCGAAAATTATGACTGAATGAATTGAAAAATATACATGATGCAAGAAGATTAGAAATTAACCTTAAAAAATCCTTGGCCAGGACAATTCCACCAGATTAATATTGTATGTGACACGATTTGATTAAACAGAAATAAAATGTAATAACTTTCATCCTAAAACGAAGTCAGTAGTTGTTTTTACTGAGTGGAATAATTTTTTTTAATGATGTTAATGTATCCCAATTTTCTATCTATATAAAAATAAATCACTATTTCCCTTGATCGTGCCAAGTTTTTTTTGTTGTGTTTGAAGGGTCCTATGAAACAAAAAATTAAAAGAATTGCGCGGAGAATTAGAAAATTCAAGATGGCGGTTCCAATATGGTGGACGAGTTTTGTAATGTTGATCAGATTCTATTTAAAATTGGTATCTGATGATTTTCGGGGTAGGAGATTGTTTCTTTCGTCAAAATTTGGAAATTCAAGATGGCGGACGAACTTTGTAATCAAGATCCGATTCCAATCAAAATTGGTATCTGGGTGTTTTCGGGGTCGGAGATTATGATTCTTTCGTCAAAATTTGGAATTTCAAGATGGCGGATCCAATATGACGGACGAGTTTTGTAATTATCGTCCGATTTTATTTAAAGTTGATATCTGATGCGGGTTTACGGAGTCGCAGATTATGATTCCCTTGTCGAAATCACGAAATTCAAGATGGTAGATCCAATATGACAGATGAGGTTTGGAATTATGATCCTATGCTATTCAAAATTGGTATCTGGGGGTTTTCGGGGTCGGAGATTATGATTCTTCTATCAGAATTTGGAAATTCAAGATGGAAGATCCAATATGGCGGACGAGTTTTGTAATTATGTGCGGAATCTATGCAAAATTGTGTCTGGGGGATTTGCGGGATCGGAAATTATGAGTCTTTCGTCAAAATTTTGAAATTCAAGATGGCGTATACTATATGGCGAACGAGTTTTTTAATTATGGTCCGATTCCACTCAAAATTGGAACCTGGGGGTTTCGGGGACGGAGATCATGATCCCTTCGTCAAAATCAGGAAATTCAAAATCCAATATGGCGGACGAGTTTTGTAATTATAAACCGATTTCATTCAAAATTGGTATCTAGGTGCTTTCAGGGTTGAAAATTGTGATTCTTTCATTAAAATTGGGAAATTCCAGATGACGGAGCCAGACGGACCCAAAATGACGGACGAGTTTTGTAATTATGATCCGATTCTATTCAAAATTGGTATCTGGGGATTTTTTGGGTCGGAGATTATGATTCTTTTCTCAAAATTTTAAAATTCAAGATGGTGAACCCAATATGGCGGACGACTTATGTAATTATAATTCGATTCCATTCAAAATTGCTATCTGGGGGTTTTCGTCAAATTTTGGAAATTCAAGATGAAAGATCCAATATGACGAACGAGTTTATTAATAATTATGATCCGATTCTATTTAAAATTGGAATCTGAGGGTTTTCGGGGTCGGAGATTATGACTGCTTCGTCAGAATTAGGAAATTCAAGATGGCGGATCCAATATGGCGGACGAGCTTTATAATTATACTTTTGTTTTTGGGAATAATAAAGACAATCAATGAATCTAAAAGCTTCCAATGAAACGGGTGTAGGATTTCTAATGTACTTATGTATTATTTTTTCAATACATTAGGAGAAATGTAGGCTCTGCAGAGTTGAGAAATCTAAATGCCTACCAACTTTTTTTAGAATTCTTAATATTATTAGTTCTATAAGCAATTATCAAGTTTTGCTTAGGTAGAGGTAGAAATAAAGCCGATTTTTCAAAGATTTTCTGAAATAGGTTGAAGTCCTATAATTTTGAATATTGTTTCTGATGGCAGCATGATCTTCTTGAAATGCTTTTTGAAGTAGTTTCCTAAAAAGAATATTCTATCCAATAAATGTTTGGTGAGGACAGATCAGATCATAATTAGCCCCAAAATGTTTATTTATAGAAATGAGATGATCCCAAAAAAATGTATATTCTAACATTTTGATTAAACTACACACTATTCAAAAAAATAATTAATATTTTCATCTGAGTAATCTCACCAATAAAAATATATTTGATTAAACTTATTTTTCCGAGAAAATATGTTTGCAATGACATTTTTTATTAATCATTCCAATGTGTTTGACCTTGAAAAACTCTGATTTTTTGTGTAAACTTACTGTAATCTTTAGACTTTGGTTTCTAATAAGGTTTTATATTTTCCTGTAGTTTTTATGTATAGCTGTTTGAAGAAGAGACTTGAGGGGAGCCAAAATATAATGAATCACCCTGAACATAGGTGACATATTATATTAGATAAATACTTGGACTAAAACATTTTTCTGTGACTTGATATTGTACAATAAAAAATAGTTCATATTCTTCTGGATATAAACTGTATACTGATATTTTATGTTCAATACTAAAGTGAGCTGGCTTTCAATCAGTTTGATCCTATCAAATACAGATAATGAAGAGTTTTTTATGTTTGAAACAGATTCATCAAACAATCCAAAATCCGCCTAGGATAACATTCCTAATGTTAAGATTAATAATTCATATATCCACACTGATGTTTCCATTGAAGTGATCTTTGATGATGAGATGGAAATAAAATCATTGATACACTTTGAAAATTTGCTGTATCTCACTTCAATCATGATATTCTTGGTTACACAAGATAATATTATATGGAAAAGAGGGAAATTAGTAAAAGAAACAATCCAGAAAATAAACAAATAAATGGAGCATAGGCAGTTAGCATTTTTTTTAAGACAAAAGCTACTCCAAAGGCTCCATAAAAATCAAATTGTTTAAAGATTTGAAATGTTTTTGAAGAAATAATCTCCATGTTGTAAAAAATACACTCATTTTATTAAATGACATCAATCAACTTACTTTGTCTCTGGTGATTTTACGTAAAAAATTCTGAGATCTAGATACAGCTGCATGTTCTTTGATGATATCAGCTACTTTTTGACTAACCCAGATACATCCTATTTGTGATTGTAACATAGATAGTGGTGTTTCTCCCCTACTATTTGGTGTATGAACACTAGCATGGCCCTAAAAATTACAAATAATTTTTTTATGATTGCCTCATGAGGTCATTATCTTACTTGTAATATTAGGGTAGATATGGCTGTGGTATTTCTAGCTAAAATAGCCCAATGAAGTGCACTATTGCCTTGTTGATCAGTCAAATTTGGTGAAGCCCCTAAAGTCAACAGCAGTCTAGTTGGATCCAAACTGAATACCTTCCATACTGCCCACATAAGTGGTGTCATACCCACTCTATCTACTAGATCTGGACTGACTCCTCTGGCCACAAAATATGCAACCTTAAACAAATTTGATCATAAAACTAATTACTGAACATGTGTCTATAGACAAGGACACTGGTTTCACTTGGTTTCCATACCAGAGCTGTATGCCCAAATTGGGCAGCCAAGTGTATACATGAACAGCCTTCAGCATCACGCAGAGAGGGATCAGCACCAGCATTCATGAGGATAACAGCAGCATCTAAATGGCCTTGTCGAGTAGCCCAGTGTAAGGGGGTTGCTTGCAATTCACCCCCAATTGCATCCACTTCTGCACCATGTTCTATGAAGAATGCAGTTATGTCTTTACGATTGTTGATGGCTGCCCAGTGCAGCAGGGTAACATTTTCAGAATCACGTTCATTAACATTATACCCAGCATCAACAAGTTCTTTAACTCTGGAAAATGCTCCATACTAAAATGAAAATACCCAATGAATTGTGTTATTGAACTATTCATGAATTATAAAATGAATCAAACCATCACCTGTGTAGCTTTGACTATATCAAAACCACTGTAATCATGTTCTATAGCAGGTACTTGAGGCTCTTTTGATATCAAACTATGACAATCTCTTTCGGTTTCAACACAACCTCCTGCACTAGCAGCTGCAGCACCACATGCATTTTGGTACATGATTGCACCTTGCAGGCTTTGCAGTTTGCACCTCTATTCCAAATATTCCAATAATGTCCAATTTTTTTGAAATTAGTGAAATTACAGAGGATAAAAAGAGAGGTTAGTTACATTATGACACTTCACTGACAAGTGACAGTTATTTAATTTTGACAAGTGTCAAATATCAAAGAAGTGTCTAAATATTTCGAACCATTCTCATGATATGTTGCGATTCCTGATTATTTTTCGAAATAAATAATCGCGGAGGCCGAGTGGCCAGGGAATTTTAATTGATAGAGTCTAATAGCAAATAGCATCGCATCAGCCTACTTTGATCATTCGTATAGTGCTTTCAATGATGTTTCTCCAGACCCTGAAGCCGTCATTGCACAGAATATCCAACAATTTGGGTATTCTGTTTGATTCTGTGCCCTGAGAGTCCGTTTAATAACATGTTTTTTTACGAACGAATACCATATATTCCATAATGCATCACGTGAGTTGAAGATGACTGTGACCAACAATCTGACAGCATCCATGTAAGAAATATTAAAAAACGCAGTGATTTCCTATCCACCTGCTTTTCTTGTATGGACAATCGGGATAAGTAACGTGACTTTATTGGTTATTGGTACTATATTTGTATACATATACTTATAAAATATGAGCACACACTTTCAACAAATATACCTACAAAATGTGGATTGGTATATGAGGTAGATAGTTTTTCAAATAAAATCTCAGAAACAAACAAATATGATGTCAACATTATGTAGCTTTACGCTTAACTGCCTTCTTTTTTCTGTCATTTGCACTTTCCTTTTTGGGATCTTTTGGAGTAAGAGCTGGAGTCTTCTTAGCATCACCCAATAGCTTCCGTCCAAACCTTGCACAATAGGCATCCATGTTGTACTTTCGTCTCAAACTATAATCGACCATGAAACGAATTTTCCCAAAGATTTCCCTTTCTCTCCAACCTTGGTCGTGAACCCCACAAATTGACCACATCACTCCTGCAAAAAGTTTTGGATAACATCCCAAATTCAGGCAATCATCTTATTAGTGTAAATAAACTTTAGATCAGGATGAACAGAAGATGGTGTAGAAACTCCTATCAAATCCTATCTACAACTGTTTTTCGGTCAAAGTTCTCGCCCTACGGCCTACAAGACAGAAGGATTCTTTTCAATATCGCGGAATATAGGTCGCATTTTACCCGCTAGATGGCAAAATCTCAACCAAAAGTCAAGGTTGGTAGAACTGATGACAAGTGAAATTCCCCAAAATCAGTTTCGTACTTTCAAATTTAATCTCATTTGATTTGCGGTTATGGTATGAATGTTATATTATTATTATTCCTGGTGCGAGCAGTGTGTAAGCGCCGTTTTCTGTATTATGTCATGAAAGAAATCTGTAAAAAGTGTCGCCGTCTTGCGGACAACTGAGAACTAATATGCCATTATTGCGGAATCTGTGGTCAAGCGATTTGGGAGAAACAGAACACCGTCTGTGATTACACCATATTACATCCACCTTGCATTTGATACTCACCAACATATCCATTGGGGTCGGTTCCATCCAAACAGTATGTGTCATTCAACCACAATCCATACTCGATAGCTTGCTCAGGTGACTCTGTCCATTCCAGTATTTTCTTGCACCAATACATGCGCATATAATTGTGAATTTTGCCTTCGTTTAGAGCCTGAAGTTGGGCTGCATTCCACATCTCGTCGTGAGTCTTTGCCTGGGCGAGTTGTTCACGCGTGTAGACCCATGTTCGTTTGTCTTTCCTGAGAAAATTCGGAGAAAATAGTAGGCGTCAGAACTCTGTTTTCTCAAATAAGAATTATATTTTGATGATTCAGCCTTAGGATTATGGGATCGGATTACTATGTCATAAGGATTAGGGAAAGAAAACAGTGCGTAAAATCTTTGATTATTTACACTAACAAAGATGAACCATCCTTATGAGAGCAGTGGAGCAAAAAATTCTATTCAGTCGGTGGCGGTATCTATGAGCGACAAGGTGAACTACTTTTTATAGAGTAACCAAGGGTAGAGATGACGTTGACGTTGTGATGACATGAAAACTACGGGAAAACATTCTTAATTCCTGGCTTAGATTGGAAGCAGAATGAACAGAAGAACAGAAACTCCTATCAAATCCCATCTATTGTTTTTCGGTCAAAGTTCTCGACCTACGGCCTACTTGACAGAAGGATTCTTTTCAATATCGCGGAATATAGGTCACATTTCACCCGTTAGATGGCGAAATCTCAACCAAAATTCAAGGTTGGTAGAAATGATGATAATTAAAATTCCCCAACATTACAGTTTCGTACTTCCAAATTTAACCTCATTTGATTTGAGGTTATGTTATGAATGTTATGCTATTATTATTTTTGTTATATAACTTATATTTTATACTTTATGTACCATTTGGAATTATATATTATTCTGTGGTGTACTTTGATGGATAAATAAATAAATAAATAAATAAATTTCTATTGCATGCAATGTGTCAGCGCCATTCTCTGTTTTCTGGCATGAAATCTGTAAAAATTTTCGCCATCTTGCGACCAACTGAGAACTAGTATGCCATTATTGCTGAATCTGTGATCAAGCGTTTTAGGAGAAACAAAACACTGTCTGTGATTACACTACATTCTATCCACCTTGATTGGGAGACACGTTTTCCCATAGTTTTTAAATTAACGTCAGGGATGTTCCTGCTGGTATTTCTAGTACTATCCACTAAGTTTTGGTACGCTAGTACTACCAATCGAAAATAGATGCAATTCTAGTACTGTTTTCAATTTTCAGTCTTTGAGTCCATGAAGTTCTATCTATCGGTATATTAATGAAGAAGAAGACATTTTATAGAGAGAAGAAACATGAGAAGCATGGAAATTACCGCGTCAAGTGAAAAGAATTGATGACAAATGACTTGGACATGATTGTTGACTTTGATCTTTGGAATTTGAATGTTTGTTTATTATTTTGTGTTTGGATGGGAAATATTTTTATTGACCTAGTACCTTATACTCAAATCTAGTAGGAACATGAGTTCAATTCAAGGTGTGACTACCCATTTCTGACAACAACTTTGGCACTTTACAGCTTTTTCAGCCATTTTTGGCAGCAACAGATAGTTTTTTTGCAAATTTGCAAGTATCAAAGTTCAAAAGAATGCAATGCAGGTGTAATTCCTGTTAAAAACTTCAACTCAATATTGATTCCCCCTTCTCCCTGTCACAGAAAAAAAAAGTGTATTATACAGGGGAAACATATTAGATTTTAGCTCCCGTTTCTTGTCTCTCTATTTGACAACACAACCTGGAACCAAAATCTACCACAATTTTTTTCCTTGGTATAATAAATAACTATTTATTTTAAAATGATTTCCGACACTGTTTGTCTCCTGGAGACATTTGATCAGAATGGCAAGAAGTATAACATACTGAAATAATTTGACTGGTAACCAATTTCCATAATATGGAGGTGGATCATCTTGTTATTGATAATAATCAAGGGTAGAATGAAAAATTTTACAGATTTGCTGACTTCAATAATTAATATCTACAGTACTTCCATATAGGCCCTACCATGCAGATACATCTTTGATTGATCTGACTGGTCTATAGCAGAGATTCAGCCGGTTGAGTAGTCTCTGGTCTATAGTAATTGTCTATGTGGAAGTACAGTAAATATGAATTCTTGCTGTTATTAATATTCTTCAGTAATACTCACTTGTGTATCTTCAGGGTTTCTTGTGCCCAATTGGCAGCTCCTTTGATATTGTCATAAAATTCATTATAAAAGCAGTAATTGTCTGTTAGTTCCTTACGTACTATGAGCTCTTCCAAGTATTTATCACACTGTTCTTTGTACACTGAATCCATACTTTTGACTTCCAAGGCACATCTCTGAGCAGATATTTGACCTGTCATACAAAAAACTCTCACTTATTCCACTAATGGGGTAATTTTATTAGATATCAGGTCTTCAATTTTTAACAAGATACATGTACATGCTGACAATTTTATTTATTTATTTCGGTAAATGCATTACATTTTTCATCAATATTACATTTTATACAGATACATAATAGATAATACTTTCAAAAACTGCTATGACTCATATCAGTTTCAGTGAACTATAGGTATCTATATGTATTGTGCAATATGTTGTCATTTATATCCATTCATTCCATACAATATCCTGTACACTTCAATATTCAATTTAATTATCTGTTTATATATTTTTGGGCATAAAAGGCCTTGCCTCTGCCCTTGTTCAAATTTAATAATAATAATAATAATAATAATATATAAAGTACATATACTATTTCAAGTAGGAATTACATGAATGGTCAGACAGTAATGACTGGTATAAGATCATTCATGAATTATTATTTACTGTTTCAATCAAAATTCCAAATATTGAACAAAACTTACATATTATTGAGATATTTCAGGATAACAGTAGGTACTCATAGTTAACAAGAATAGAAAAGAAACAGAGATGAGAAAAAATTCAATAAAACTTGGAAATTCATAGTCTGTCAGCTTTGATCATGTCTTTGCATCTGAATATATTTCTTGACTTTATTTTTGAATTGTATAATATTTGGGTAGTTTATAATATAATCTGGTAATTTGTTGAATTTTGAAATAGTCTGATGTGTAAACTTCTTTGTCCAAGTGTAGATTTTGCAGCTCCAAGATGAAACAAGTAATATTGTCTAGTGTGATGACATTTAATTTCGGAATTCCTTATTAATATGACATTTGATTTAAACTTTTTGTTGATGATATAATAGGGAGTATTAAATAGTGCTCTTCCAAAGAAAATGTGTTTCCTTCTTTATACAGTTGATTTGTTGGAGTATCATTTTATGGAAGGATATACAGTGCTTTCAATGCCTTCTTATATAGTACAGACATTTTGTTGAAACTGTTTTTGGAACAAGATATCCAAATATTTATCAGATAGTTGAATGAACTGAGGATATGAAAATAGAAAGTAATATTTGATGTTTGTACCTATATGTACTAAATTTTTTGGACATCTTCATTTCCTTTGAGGATGTCAATATGCTTTTCCCATGCTAATTTCTCATCAATCCAAATACCAATGTATTTGGTATAGACAGTTTGTTTCAATATACTTAACAATGCCATTGGCCTTTAATTTTCAATATATGTTTCAATTCACATGGAAAAACAAAACGACCGGATATACCTACTGTAAATAGGTACAAAATAAGTAGGCCAAGAAATTATTATTATTAATGCATTTTATGACTTACCAAAGTTTAGCCAAGGTGACAACTTGGATGTGTTATCCTTGGATGGATCATTACTAGTTTCCCCATAATGTCTCAGATTTTTGACAATGAAGTGATGTAACATAGAATGACCTGCTTCCATTCCAGGACCATCACCCCATTTGACTTCTGGTACATCCCACTTTGGGGTGTAAAGATCATAGGAATCTTCAAATTTACTTATTTCATTCTCTACTTCCATTTCACCTGAATATTGGTGCTTTGTTATAATTGGGAACCCTGTCATGAATTCTGCTAAATTTTTTGTTATTTTAGGACGTATTAGTCTAGCCATCCCCTCTTGTTTGTCAGAAGCAATCCATACAGGCACTATGTTATGAGCATCTACCTGAGGAAAATTAATTTCACAATATCTTGAGTAATGTATAATTTTCCCAAGCCCATTGCATTACCAATCTTTGATTTATATATCTCACCTGGACTACTGGTATATAATCTGGCAATTCTTTCAGAAGAGAATCTTGTAATTTCCTTGGGTGTCTAAGTGGGCTGAAATCACATACTACACCTCCAATCTCATTCTGTACTATCAATTTTGCTAAATCTTTTCCTGAGCTATTCAACAAATAGAAGCCAATATTTAATTCCTTGCATTCCTTCTGGATCAGCTTCAAACCTATAGAATATGGCAATGAAGAAAAATAGCTTTTTCATGAGATCAGACATACCTTCCAGCAGAAATTTGAAGTGACGCTTGGTGGGATACTGCTCTTGGGCATCTTTGATTGTGAAGCAGACAAATAAAGGTATTTTCTGTTTTCTAGCTAGCCGTTGAGCAAATATAATGGCCCAGTTGTCTTGAATCCTGCATTCTCTATACATCCAATACAGAATGCCTTTAGAATGTTCCTTGATATGTTCATTTTTCGAAAGTGTTTTACACCGATTTTTGTTGAAATCAAATGAATGGCTTTCACCAGTCGATTCTCTTGAAACTCTAACATTACTGAGAAATAGTTCTTTAGTTAGTTTATCAACTATGATTTTTCCGCTAGAGTTTCTGGGTTTTAATGACGCCATTGAATTCACAAAAAAATATATGAAATCTGAGTATTCAATCAAGGATACAATTTAGAATTAAAATTTTCACAATTGTCACAAAAAGCTCTCTACTAGTCTCTACTGTCACAAGTCACAAATAACAACAATCACAAATCACAAATCTGAAATCTGAATCTGAAATCTGACAAGAAACACCACCAACACTGAACACACCGACGAAATAATGAAATATGAAATATGTATGTGTCTCTACTCTCTAGTAAGATGCCTGTCTCTAGGCTCTAGCGATGTCACAAACTCATGTTCCGTGAATCACAAACTTATGTTCTGTGAGTTTGTGGTTATGAAATATGAAATGAAATAATGGCTTTTGAGCACAGTTTTATCATTGTTTTATCGTGTTTATTATCTGAGGTTTTGCATTGCACTTGACTATTATGTTTTTATTGAAGGATATTTCAATGTTGGTGTTTCTCGATTATTTACCTAAAAATTAAGACCCAGGCTCACAGGTGTCCCTTCATTAGGTATCACTATATCACGGAAAGCAGGTATTTAAAATACATTCGAAAAACTTGACTACTTGACAATATTTTTCGTTGATTATTTTGCCTCCAAGAAGCAAGTAGATAAGAAGATTGCTGCGTACCTTCTCCATACTTCAGGGAATCAAGAATGGAATTGGGCTGCCCCAATTTTGTTAATAGGGCAGGACTGAGTTCATTATTATTATAGTTCAGAAAGTGAGAATTAATATGATATTTTCTCTGAAGAATGGAACCTATGCCATTCTCTACTACTTATTTCAATCTTCAGACTAGATTAGATTTCCTGAGGAGATTTCCTGCATCATTCAGTGAGATTTTGTATCTAGAGCTTTTTGATGAATATACAATTTATTATTCAAATGGTACCATTTCTTATTTTCTTTCTGAACAATCATTGATAGAGTAATCTAGGCATGAGTGACTAGGTACAATAATTAATTTCCTATATACCTATATAGCATTTTCTAATTATTGATAACATTTCTAGGTATTACCCCCTTTTTTTCAAAGGTGCAAAAACAGTCATGATGAAGAATCTACATGGGAAAATATGTCGCTTATGCTTTAGTAATGATCTGAATGGTTTTGAGTCTATAGATTCAAATATGAAGGACATGATCGAAATAGTACTTCCAGATTTGGTTTGTTAAAAATTCAGTAATCATTGCAAACTATTGAATATTTATTTTTACAGAACATAAATATCTTTGGGAAAAGTATATTATGCATTCATTGTTCTTCAAACCTATCCAAGGCATTTGCTTTCAAATCATCATGTCTGGAAATTGAAGATAACATCCACAATTACACAAATAATGGACAGGTACAAGTCAATTTGGAAAAAATATTGGGTTTAAATGATATGGATGATAACACAGATGATAATGAAAGTGTAAAAAGAAGTATGAGAATTTGCAGAACTTGTTTAGATATTGTGGAATTTGAGATATTCACTAGGCTTGATGGATATGAAAATCATTCCATAAACCACATATTGCAAAAATGTTTACCAGAATTGGTAAGTAATTGTGTTTTATACATGAGATTCATTATATTATAGGACATTTTTCCTAGGATCGTGATCTAACAAAAGATCCAGGTATATGTGATAAATGCAAACATTTGGCAAGCAATACTTATAATTTTATTTCTCAATGTATGGATCTTGAATTGAAGATAAGGGACTATGTGCAATCTGAATCACCTGAAAATTTCAATGTTCATAATGCTTACAAATATGTATTTTCTGAAAAAGATGCTGTATTCATATTGAATTCAGATGTACAAATATTAACTGAAGAAACTGAAGAAATCCTCACAATGGAAATTGATACCCCACAAGATAGATCTGATGGTGATTCTAAAAAAATATATGAGTCCCACCCAGAATATGAGGACAAAATAGTGGTTACACAAACAAGTGAAGTTGATGAAGCAAGCACACTTGATTCTTACCAAGAATATGATGAAAAAATAATTACTTCCAATCCAAGTCCTGTTCAAGAACAAAACATTGAAATAACAAAAAAAAGTCACAAAGAATATGATGAAAAATCAAGTACTTCCAATGCGATTCCTGTTCAAGAACATAACAGTGATACAAGACCAAATCATGAAGAATATGAAGAAAAAACAAGCACTCCCAGTACATTTCCTGTTCAGGAAGAAAATATCACTGTACCAAAAACAAATACTATTGAGGAAAGTCCCATTGAACCTGCTTCATTAGAATTAATATGTGAATCTGGGGAGAAAACAGATACCACTAGAAAAAGAAAGTATTCAGGCAATTACACATCCTCATCAGATGAGGTAACTATAATTGATACCAGTGATGTCATGGAGACAAGGAAATCTACTGATGGACCATCTAAACCTCGTAGAAGTAATACCAGAAGGTCTTGCAGGTTAACAACTAAACTTGTGAACTCAAAAAGTGATGTAGATACCACTGATGATTCTGACTTTAGACCAGATAATTACCGTAGTTCTGATTCAGATGATCACTTCCAGAACTATGCACAAGCATTTAGGTGAGGAGTCTTCATCTTTCTCATCACAGCTTCATACTTTTCTTTCTCTAGCTATATCATATGTATATCATTACATTTCTGAATTATGTAATTATCTGAATCCAATGAGAGTGATAGTGAATAGTAGTGATATATGATATGCTATCTATACCTGATTTATACCATGATTCAGAGATCCTCTGCTTCAGTGAACATTGTCAAAGTGACTCTAAAAGTTAGGAGCTCTAGATGAGTCCTAAATCTTGGTTCATTAACTCTACCTATAAAGATTAATCTATATACCTCCCAAACTGTTCAATACCTTACTGTTCCTAACATGTTTGAGTAGTCTTAAAGCAACTAGTCTTGAAAATATGTCCAGCAATGCTTGCTTTTTCTAATGCATTATAATTAAAGTGACCATATGTTATATGAATCTTGTGCTTATGCTTTGACATGTTTGCCCAATATATTTCTTGTAAATATCACGATTTATTCTATTAACCTAACCTGATTTATCATTAGTATTACTAATGTATACCTGACAACCTGACTAATCATTAGTATTGATATTTATGAAAATAGTATTTGCATCAATTTTGATAGGAACAATAATTAATGAACCAAGAATTGGGATCCATCCAAACCATTAAATTTACTTTGACATGATATTTATATGAGCAAACCTGTAAAATTATAGCCTCATTGGTGATCTGGAGAATATTTTTATTTAATTTTCAGTTATAATGGGTATAGTAAATTAGTTGAACAAAATTATCAACTATGTTTTGTTCTCAATTAATATCATTCATTTTTATCCAATTTCTCTAGTTCAACTTCAAGAAATAGATTCCGAAGATTATGCCCCAAAGGAAGAGCTCCAAAGAAGAAGAAATCCACTACAAAGGAGAATGTGAAGTAAGTATTCCATCAACTTGATGGGCATTTTCTTGATTACATTTTTCACTTTTTCAGCAACAATTTCTACCTGGTAATCGCATCTGACCATCAAGCAAATGGCGGCCAACAAGTATACCAATTGGTTTTAAATCCTTCCTCAACAAGGTAAAAATTCAAATGGATACACGTTTCTAAATGTAGTTCAAAAAGTGCCAAGTTGAATCAAAAACTGTCAGTTGTACTTCAGATTAGTCAATTTGGATTGGAGAAGTACCAATTGTATTTCAAAATATTCATAAACAATCGCAAATATTCTAACTTTCCATTTAACGATCAACAAAACCTCAACAGCTTCCGAATTTGTTGTTTCAGTGGATTATTTTACATACATAACCTTATTTCAAGAAGAAATGTTCATATGAACATATGCCCCTGACCTCTTACTTTTGAGCTATAGGGTGTTAAAATTCCAAGAAAAAAATCGTTTTCTCATCATAAACTTAACACCTCGCTTAACACTGTTCTAGATATTTTTATGGAATCTGACATGCACCTACTAAGTACCATATATAGGCATTTGTTTGATGCTGGAGAATTTTCAATATTTCTACCAGTACCGTCCGGATGGGGCTGGAGATTTTTCTAAAAACATAATGTATGCCCTTGCTTCTACGAATTTGAACTATAGTAGGCTGGTGGGCTGGTGCCCTATTTTGTATTTAATATAATGACATGATCGATTATGTTGTGGTTTTATTTTGCCAAGTGTTCATAAACGTGATAGTTCTTTACATTCTGAAAGTTTTTTTAATCATTGAAGAGATAGGACATATGTTCATATTCATTTTTCTTCTCAAAATGAGCTAAGGAACCATATCCAATATTTTAGCCATCAATTAAATTACATCGTGCATAGATTTTGTGGCAATCTTATCGTTTGTGAAGTTGTTCTTTTTTAAATAAACTTTGAAATTCAAATTAAAAGTCGAAAATTTAAACAATGCTTTTTGAAAATCAAAAAACCATTTGGAAATACAATTGACACTGTTTGAACGGCAATTTGCAAAGGTATTAGTTAAAATGACCAATTGATTGTCAATTGACTTTTCAGTGTTGCAAACAATCATCCAGTGTTGCTAGCACCAGTTACCGGAACAAATGCTAGTGGTTCATCCTCACAAGGAAGATTATTATTTACTGGAACAAAAGCAGCACCTGTGACTAGGGTCTCAGGGTCCAGACGTACCCCAATGGTTGTACCTCAAACATCGACAGTAACTCCTTCACAACAATCAACGCCTAACATTTCAGTTCCTTCATATAGAAATGTGCAACCAAGAAATTTAACCTCTGAAGCATTTCGTTCAAGATTCATATCATTTCCTGGGAGTAACATAGGATCAGGTATTACTGGGACATATCCAGGAAATGTAACAATTTCTCAAACATCATTACAACAAGATGCAGTTGTGGGGCCTCAGATGAGGGTTTGTCAAGGAGCTTCAGTCACTTCTGTCCAGCAATCATTTGTTGCTTACAACCAACAAGTTGCATCCATTCCTGGGCCATCAAATAATGGAATGATAGGGTCATATGCTCCAAATGTATTATCGTTTACTGGAGATGCTTATTCAACCACACAAACACCAACACTGTCTGTTGCATATGCAGAACCTACTCCATCAATTTCTTATGCAGCAACAATCGGTAATAATAACACACAATTTGCACAACAAACTGCTTCGGTTTGCGGAGTTACATCAATTATAACGGATAATGGAGCTGGAACAAGTGTTCCTAGAATGCCTATTCAACAAGCTTCATTGATCAATGGACCTAACACAATATTCACCAATAATCAAATTTCAATGAATCAAATGGGAAGTTACCAAACCACATCTGTTACATCTTTACAAGAAACTTTATTGAATAACGTTCAGTCAACATTAATAACTGGCAACACATTTAGTTCATTACCTCAACAAACTCCTTCATTCACCGATTACATCAATAATGCACCTAATCAAATGATGTTGCAACAAATTCCATCAAAACCAGGAAATATCCCTGCAATGTCAATTACGGAAATTAATCCGGCAACATCAACTACTGGTAATGAATTAGGAACAACAATTTCTGTGACATCTGCGGTACCATCAATTACTGGTAATGAATTAGGAGCAACAACAGTTTCTGGTATATGTGCACAACAGACTTCCTTAGTTAATGAAGTCAATCCAGTCACACCAATTAGTGGTTACGAATTAAGAGCAACAACTGTTCCTGTGACATCTGCACAACAAACACCATTAATTACTGAAGTTAATCCGGTAATATCAACTACTGGTATTGAATTAGGAGCTACAACAGTTTCTGCAACATCTGTTCAACACAATTCTTCAATTACTTCAGTAAGAGAAGATATTCCTGCAACAGTAATACCCACTGCTCCCGCTTCAACAACTACTCCAGTTTATGAGGCATTATCAAATACGAATAATGCACATCAAACTGTATCGATGACTGAAGTTACTCAAGTACCATCAAAAACTAGTACGACAACAGTTTTCCAGCATGCCCTACAACAACATTTGTCAACACTGGTCACTGGTAAAGCAACTGCATCTTCATTTTCTGGGGCATCAACACAACAACTTTTCACAATTACTGGAGATAATAGAGCAACTGCAACTTCTGGTGCTACTGGAACAGCGATTAACACACTTTCATGTTCATCTTTGCAGCTAACTTCAACGATCAGTGGTACAAAATCTAGCGCATTCACACTTTCTGTACCTCCCTCTCAACAAACCTTGAAAGGTTCGAAGGTGTCTGATAGATATTTGGTTCTAAGGAATCCCCCTGACAGTATATTATCATCACTATTACTCAAAAATCCACCAATTGCAAAGAAACCGCGTAAGAGGAATGCAGCTCCTACAAAAAAATCAAAGCCTCCAATAATTCTGAAAAATGTGAAGAAACCTTCATTACCAAGCAAGAAGACGCCATCAAGCTTGCCTACAATTATAGATATTACAGGGTAAGTCAATGAGTGGACATGTTATAAAGATTACAAATATGTGTAATGGGGGAGCAGATTTTTTAAAATGACATCATCACTAGCTCTGTACCAAACAACTTCATAGAATTTTGAATTATTTCATTAATACTAGGACGATAAAAAAAAGTTAATTGAAATTTGTACATTTCAAAATACACACTACCTGTGCCATTTGAAATGATGTCAATTCATTGGTATGACTGGTGTGACGTATTAGTCTAGACACGCCTTTTGTCCTTGAGCTGACCAATCATACAAAACACTGCTGAATGGCAAGGTATCAGAGAGAGAGAGAGAGAGAGAGATAGCTACAGTTTGGGACTAATACGTCACGGCTCCACCTCCATATCAGGCTTTTTGAAATATCCAATGGATAATGCTGATTTCCAAACGCTATTGATTCGATTCTCTTCAACTTTATTTTTTTTTATCGCTTGGAGCGCATGATTCATCGATTGAAAGAGGTTTGAACAGATCTCATTCCTACTTATGGGTCTTCCCCAGTTCCCCATTATCAAAATGTATATTCAGAAATGTGTGAACAAAATTCATTACTTGTTCTAGCCCCCGAATGTAGTCGGTTTTTGATACTTGGAAATACTTTATTGATCCGATTTTGATGGGAATAGTAGATGTATATTACTTTTTCTACAGTGAAATTCAATGAATTTTTTCGTAATTATTGACTCCTGATTATTACAAAAGCCGAAATTATGAGAAATACTTCCTATTACATCAGTAGGTACATACAGAGTGACCCAATTGAAAGCTGTCCACCCTCATAACTTCTTAATCTGGAGCGATTTTCACGTTTTTTTTTTCAAATGTAGAGGAGGGCAAAGTGTAGTAAAATCTATATCATCTCCGATGATTACAGCACTCGCCTTTGGCTCGTACTGCAACTTTCATCTTCGTGGGCAATAGCCATCATTATGCGCTCGTTGAATAATATACTATTACGTTCGTGAAAATGCTGTTTTTTTCAAACTCTTCATAGAATCATATGAATGATGGATGGTGAAGGCACGGGGATTTTGAGGGTGGATATTGAATATTTTTTCATGAAACTTGGTACAGATCTATTTTACAGGACGCCGATTCCAGTAGCGTACGCAAATTATTTAAAAAAAATCGCTAATATGGGTTCTGAATTTTTCAGCCTCTGAATGTGATTAGTAGGCATTGGTTTTTAAATTAATGAGGGTGGCCCGCTTTTAATGGGGCACTTTGTACATATAGATTTTATGATTTCAACACTCGATATATGGAAAACTATAGAATATATTGAAAATTTTGAAATGAAATCTTGAATGAGGCATTGAATCTTTCTAATGGTGCCCTTTGATGATGATCGTTTTCTTATCCGATATACATAAGGTGTGAGAAAATATTGGTTGGTTTATTGCATTCATTATGTGGCTATTGCTTGTAACCAAAGCCGTTTCTGCGATAAGTGTGGCTTGACACATCTCCACAATAAGCCGTTGAATTCAAATTTATAAATGTATATTTTGTGTTTCAGCGATTCTACAGATTCCTATCGGATACCGACGAAAAGATATTACTGTGCATACTGTGATCATACAAGTTACAGTAAATCTTTGGCAGATAGACATTATAATAAATGCCAGAGCCGTTCAAAACATCGTAAGTATTTCGAATGCCTCAAATGCGGTTATAGGGAAAATAACGACTATCTTTACAAGAAGCATATAAAGAGCTGTGGAAAAAAGAAGAAGGCTAAGACAAAAAATACTGCCGTAATAGAGATAATTGATCTTGATGATTCATCATCTTCTCAGGAAACACAGCAAAACCAGCAACAATCAGCAAAATCAGATCCTGTATCGAATGAGATACAGTGTACTGATAAACTTTCAGAACAAAACAAACTTCCACAAACTTCTAGTGTTTCATCGACAAAAACATTTGAGGTTCTTACTGTGGAGAACTTGAACAATCACAACGCACCTGCGCCAATTTCTAATAGTATAGAACTCTCTGAACAAGAAAGGCTTGCATTAACTTCTAGTGTTCCATCGGAAAAAACGTCTGATATAAGTTCTGAAGTGGAAAACATTGAAAATCCACCAACTTCCAATAGTAAAGAACAATCTGAACAAGAAGGACTTGCACCAACTTCTAGTCATCTATCTGAGGAAACGTCTGAGGTACATTCTGAAGTGGTGAACAGCGAAAATATAATAGACTCCAATAAACAATATGGAGTTGCGCCAACTTCTAGTGGAATAGAACACTCTGAAGAACTCGCACCAACTTCTAATAATTCATCTGTAAAAACTTCTGAGGTTAATTCTAAAGCAGAGAATATTGAAAATATGATAGACTCAAATAAACAAAACGAATTTACGCCCACTTCTAGCGAAATAGAACAATGTGAACAAGAAAGACTGGCACCAACTTCTATTAATTCATCTGAAAAAACTTCTGAGGTCAATTCTGAAGCGGAGAACATTGAAAATATAATAGAATCCAATAAACAAAACGGACTGGCGGCCACTTCTAGTGAAATAGAACACTCTGAACAAAAAGGACTTGCACCAATTTCTATTGTATCATCTGAAAAAACTTCTGAGGTTAATTCTGAAGCGGAGAACATTGAAAAAATAATAGACTCCAATAAAAAAGACGGACTTGCGCCAAATTCTAGTGAAATAGTACACTCTGAACTAGAAGGACATGCACCAACTCCTATTGTTTCTTCTGAAAAAACTTCTGAGGTTAATGCTGAAGCAAAGAACATTGAAAACATGATGGACTCAAATAAACAAAACATACCTGCGCCAACTTCTAGTGATATAAAACACTCTGAACAAGAAGGGCTCACATCAACTCCTATTGTTTCAGCAGAAAAAGCTTCTGAGGTTAATTCTGTAGCAAAGAACATTGAAAACATGCTGGACTCAAATAAACAAAACATACCTGCGCCAACTTCTAGTGATATAAAACACTCTGGACAAGAAGGACTTACACCAGCTCCTATTGTATCAGGAGAAAAAGCTTCTGAGGTTAATTCTGAAGTAGAGAACATTGAAAACATGATGGACTCAAATAAACAAAACATACCTGCGCCAACTTCTAGTGATATAAAACACTCTGGACAAGAAGGACTTACACCAGCTCCTATTGTATCAGGAGAAAAAGCTTCTGAGGTTAATTCTGAAGTAGAGAACATTGAAAACATAATGGACTCAAATAAACAAAACATACCTGCGCCAACTTCTAGTGATATAAAACACTCTGGACAAGAAGGACTTACACCAACTCCTATTGTTTCAGGAGAAAAAGCTTCTGAGGTTAATTCTGAAGTAGAGAACATTGAAAACATAATGGACTCAAATAAACAAAACGGACTCGCGCCAACTTCTAATGATATAGAACACTCAGAACCAGAAGGACTTGCTCCCACTTGTAGGGTTGTATCGGCAAATACATCAGATATTGATTCTAAAGTTGAAAACATATTGGACTCTAACAAACAAAACGGACTTGCACCAACTTCTAGTGCTTCATTGAAAATTGTGTCCAAGGTTCCTTCTGAAATGAAGAAGATTGAGGGCAAAACAAACTCCAAAAAACAAAACGGGCTTGCGCAGACCACCACTAGCATGGAACACTCAGAACATAAAACAACTAGTGTTTTATCCAAAAAAACGTCTGAGGTTGGTTCTAAAGTGAAGAAAGCAAAAACGGACTTGAACAAACAAAACGTTTTTACGCCCACTTCTATTCCTAAAAAACATAAGAAAAAGAAGTCTAAAGTTCATACCAAAATGATCGTGAAGCATGTTGAAGACAAAAAGAACTTGAAAAACATGCCCCCTTCTAGCAGCATAGAACAATCCGAACAAAAAGGACTTGCTGTTTTGAAGTGCGATTTGTGTTCTTTCAATGCCCGAACATATGTAAAGATGGCGAAACACATTCGAGTGCATGTGGCCAAGTTAAAGAAGGACGATGTGTTTCAATGTGATCATTGTGAGTCTTGTTTCATGAATATACAAGATACTATTGACCACCTCAAATATTCGCATTGCTTAGATTATTACAAGATATATTATTGGTGCGTGAAATGTGCTACTGTTTTCAGTAAGCCATTCGAGCTTCAGGAGCATTTCCTCAAATGTTCCTTCAAAGAAAAAATCGTGAGATTGTTCAAGAGCAACAACAGTGTATTTTGTCTGATGTGTGAATTTGAGACTGATGATGTGAATGAAGCTAGGACGCACTTGAAATCTTGTCGAATCAAAAATGTTGTCGTTTCAGATGATGTGATTGAAATTGATTGACAATGACAAGTTCTTATATTTTATTGTATATGTCTACATAGTTGTCAACTTTTTATCGAATTATTTTTAACAAAAATGTTGATTACCTATATATACTTATGAATAAAATTAAGTAGTTTTTATGTGAAATGTGTCAAGTCTAATGGTGGAGAAATAAAAACCAATCAAGTTGGTATGTTTAGACAGGGTGATTAATTTTTTGTATCAAAACATTAGAAGTCGAAATATATCAAGTACTAGAGTGCATCTTAGAGAATATTACGACCTACGGAAATATAATATGAGACAAGGATCCTTTTTCATTTTATAAGAGATGGAATTAATTTTTCACATGAACCAAACATTGGCGTATTACTGAAAGCATATTATATTTCTTTTTGTTTTTACTGAAAACAAGACTTGCTAGTTATCGATAGCTAACGATAACCTCATGTTTATACTATTTTGAAGTGAGGCGAAGATAGCCAAGAAGAAAGTTGAAAACATTGAAAACCCCATACTAAACTACTGACTTAGAATAATCATCCAGCACATCATAAAAGTACAGGGCTAGTTTTATTAATGTGAACCCCCCTCTATCGTTTTTGTTTTCCACCCATTCAAAAAATTTCAAAACTGATTCGATACAATTTTTCACACAGATTTCACTCATTTTGACAATGATGCAATATCTATTCAAATATACAGGGTATACAGAAATAAATATATTTTTCAAATGAAACGCCCTGTATATTTCGATAAATTTGAATTCCCCAAATCATCCTGATTTCAAACATATATATAGAAGGATCTTCATCTATCAAAATATACAGTGCATTCCATATAAAAAAATCAATATATTTCTGTATACCCTGTATATTTGAAGAGATATTGCAACACTCTCTCAATATGATTGAAATCAATATGAAATATCGTGAAAAAATCAGTTTTGAATCTTTTTGAATGGATAGAAAACGAAGAAGATGAAGGGGGGTTCACATTAATAAAACTAGCCCTGCACATATACCTCCGCAATTCGTACTACTCCAACAGTTGTTTTTTCATTAGGCATTTTTAATATTCTCTAAGATAAGAATGAACGCTTTCAACTAATTGAATTAATTAGTGATTGAAAGTTGGTAGCATGATAAAACTGCTGGAACAAAATAGTTATCACTTTTATCGGTCTTAATTTTTGTTTAATATTACATCACACTTTGTAGAAAATGAAAGAATATCAAAAACTAAAAGTTGTGAAATTCTGATAAAAACAACATTTCATAAAAAACTTTTTTGAAATTCAAACAACTAGGTCTATTTTTAGCCATTTCCAAATAATACGAAAGTACAGGGTTGGGATAGACCAAATTGTAATACTCTGTATATATGAACAAATCACCTCCAATTTTTTTTATTCAAGAACCATTTTCCAGTGCTGAAAAGTGTACGATCTTCTTCGCACTCTAATGAGTATATATGTATACTATAGTTTTTATACCTTCCACAAGAAGGAAGAATTTCGCGGACATTATGTATACGTAGGTGATTCTTCATTTTAGAACCATATCTTTCTTACTTGGATATATTATTACTATACACAGTCACGCCGGAAAAAATTCCACTACGTGAGGAATTTTATTCCAGGTATATTTTTTGATTGATTTGATTGAGAGAAAACCGAGAATGCCCATGACATTCTCGGATTTTCAAAATAAACTGTACATTTTTGTCAAATCTGATCGTGATTGACTTTTATCGAGATGTTCGACCTTTTCCATACGTTTTATTGGCCCTGTTACTATCAACTCGCCTTGGCTTCTCATTTTCTCCACCATGTGTATATATCACTTTTTGTGGACTATTTGTAAATAGTGATGAGTCAACTCTTCTCATTGTATACCTATACTTATTGAATAGGAAATACATTTTTTATAAGAAATATTCACTTGTTTATGTCTATAGATACCTTTCCGCCTGGATCATCTGGCTTGAGCAAATTTGAATTTGGAAAAAGAATTTGTTTCGTCTGCATGAGCCTGATGTCAGAAACTTATATTCTATGGATATTCTCCGTTAAAAAATAATACATGGTGTCCCAAATTCGAGGGGTATCATTGGGATTTCGGTAACCATAACCATAACCATAGATACAAAGTCGGTGTCCCTACTGTTACAAACTTGAAATTTCACGTTGATAATTTTCAGATTTCAAAATAATGTAATATCTTCTCAATATTGATTCGTCCTTTCTTCTGTCACAGAAAAAAATAATGTATTATAGGCGGGAAAAATATTAGATTTTAGCTCACGGTTTTTTGTGGTACTTTAGCGCACGCGATTGCAGATGGCCGAACGACGCGTCTGCGTCCCACGTCTGTTCCAAAACTAGAACTAGCTCTTGAAATTGACTTTTAGCGTCTATACAGGGTGTTTCAAAATTCAGTATCAAGATTTTAGGGGCGTATTTTTCAGGTCAAAATAAGACGTTTTTGTCCATAAACATGTGTCCGCAAACGCTTCGTTACCGATCTACAGAGCGTTAAAGTTTCAAGATTTTTTTATTTTTTTCTTCATAGCTCTTTCAATTTTTGAGATATTAAGATCAAATTTGGAATGTAGGTTACGTTCTAGGGCTTACATCATCTAGCATACCGAGTGATTGTGAGAATCTACAGGGAGATATTTTTTTCAGGGGTCAAGCCCTTTTTTACCCCATAAACTTTTTTGTGGTGCGCCGCTGGTGAATTCTGAGATACGAAATGAATTCTTTGTTTTGTTTATAAATTTTTTTGTCTCTTGTAATTTTCACGCATCTGCGATCGTTATCGAGAAAAAAGTAAAATCAATTTTTGTGATTCGCTACATTTAATTAAAATTTTCAACGGAACAATGAAAAAGCGAATTAGTGGGCTTTGACTGCTATTTTCATTTTGACGTTTAGGTTTGTTTTGAAGCATTTGACATTATTTGAAAGTTGGTGGATGTCTCATCGTGTATTTGTTTAACTTTAACGCTCTGTAGATCGGTAACGAAGCGTTTGCGGACACATGTTTATGGACAAAAACGTCTTATTTTGACCTGAAAAATACGCCCCTAAAATCTTGATACTGAATTTTGAAACACCCTGTATAGGAGATGGAGTTTAACTCATAGTAACTATATAAAAATGAGGATAGGATTAATCTATGGGATAGGTTACTGCAGCTGACATGCTCAAGTGAGTTACAATTTTACGATTTATATTTCAATTATATTTGATCAGTTAGAGAACAATAATTATTCTGTTTGTAGAATGTTTCAATCGAATAAATAGTGACTAATTCGCAAAATGTTTCGTGTTTGATTCGTAAAACTTCGTTAACGCAAATTTCGCTTTTTAAACAAAGCGTCACTTTTAATCCTAAAAAAAACTAATGCACTATCAATGTCTACCACATATTACATTTTTTCTTAGGGTTCATGAAACTTCCTTCGGGACATTGGAAGGCAGCAGAAAAGTCCACGGAATTCTGGAGGGTTCCCAGAACTCGCAAGTAGTGTGGCGCATGAACATCAGTATCTTCATCGAGGTTCATTTTAGGTTCTAACTCCATGCACCATGCCTGAAATCGCAAAAACAAAGTCAACTCAATGTTTCACCTCCAAATTCAGGAATCGTCATAGTCTACGAAAGCATAGAAAAAGCCACTGTTGTGTATATTTTATTTTATTTCTTTATTCAGACTTTGGAGTCCGAATTCAGACTTATTTCTCTGAATTCAGACTGTTTGCATTGGGTGCATTGAATACACATTCACATTAGGTAATATCCCAGCGAGCACAAAAACATCTCAGAGATGTTAAAAGTACGAGATTTCGAGACATTGAACCTCCACTGCGATGTTCTGTTCACACATGAATAGAACTATTATTGAACAGCCAATGTCCGCCGCAGGCGGCAATTATCGAGATGTCCTTGATATGTCACAAAACTACCTTCTCCCTAGTTCTTTTTAAATCCTTTTCATGGACACAACAAAACATTTTCAACGCGTCTTGCGCACATTAAATCGCTGTAAAAAAACATTTTCGAGGTACTTTTCTGAAGCCTTTTGTCAAAATCAACTTTTGCATTAGGATTCCATTCCCCTTGAATGAAAAAATGCATTAAAAATAGATTGAACATAAAAATATTTTCTTGATATGAAATTACATTCTTAATCAGTTTCTGAGTAGTGCTTACTACACACAGACATATAATTGGAAATAGGTTTCCCAATTTTTGAAATGTTCTCCACAATGCATAATTTTGCAACTGCGGACAAGCTGTGTATTGATAAATTCGTACTTTTATATATTGATTACACTGAGGCACCGAACAACACATCTTGCATCTGATGGTCATTATTACAAACTAAATAAGTCTTCTAACACAATAAACTTTACCAAATTCCTTTCTGTTCGTTAGCAGCGTGATGTAAGCGTGACACGCTGCAAACGCGAATGCCAATTGCGAACAAGACGAACAAAATCGAAAACAAAGCAGAATTCATCGTATTGTGACGTAAGCATGAGACGTTGTGGTGGGGCAAACAAAGAAAGGGCACAAAAGAACAGAAACAATACTTTCAATATCCTTCTACGACCTATTTGGGAAGTGCATATTACGCCTCAAAAAAACATCCTCATGCCTACATTTCAAAAACATCCCAAAACATCCCAGGGATACCTCTCAGTATATAGGCAAACGATGCCACAAAAAAACGAAAACAATACTTCAATATCCTTCAAAGACCTCTTTGGTCAGTGCATATTACGTCTCAAAATAACATCTTCATGCCAACATTTTCAAAACATCCCAGGGATGTTTGTGCTCGCTGGGCGGGAAGTGAAAAATATGCGAAAACTTTCCTTTTCACATACCATATAACCAGTTATGGTTTGTCTAATAGATTAGTTGAAAGTTATTACTCTAAAAAAATGAACCAGGTGAAAGAACAGAAAATGTCATATTCTGATCCAGAATTGTCCCAGACATTCAGGAATATCACAATATACAGGGTGTTCCGTTTAAAAATTCAAAACTGATGCCATTTCCGGTGGAACGGGAAGTGACCGGGAAGTGAAAAATATGCGAAAACTTTCCATTCCACATACCAAATAACCATATAGAATTTAATTTCGATACACCCGACATATTCTAGAAGTTATGGCTTGTCTAAAATAGATTCGTTGACACCCGAGGTATATTATTAGCATAGTTGTTTTTTTTTCAACAAATACATTTTATCTCGTTTGATAATATAGCACTTACACTAGCGTATGCGATGAAAAACGTTTGATCAGTAGTGTAACTTTCGAAACCAGGCAACTTAGACTCTATACCATACGCTTTTTCATAATGATGGTAAGCATTGAAAGCTGCACGTAATCCTCCATTATCTGCTATGTTCTCACCGAGTGTTACTGTTCCATTTATCTGAAATACCAACAGATAACATTATACTGTAGAACGCGGCTAAATGACCAATAAATTATTTGGATGTTGTTTAAAAATTTCTTGGATTTCTCTCAGCCTGTATATGGTGTTTACGACAGCTGAACTACTTAGGTACATCTTAGGTACTTGTCACCATTCTGAAATATCAATTCTTTCAAAAATCTTTTACTGATTTTCAGGCTCAACTTATTGGGGCAAATACTAGCTGTGTAACTTTGGAAAAGATGTGAGAACATTTTTGAAAATATCTTCATAGGTTCATCGAATTATTCATGAAGTAAAGATAACCTATTCTATATTGATATCACCTACTTTTCCATGAACACCTTCAAGAGAAATATCTTCATAATGATCAATGAAACATCCAGTCAAATTTTGAAAGTTCTTGATTGTATCATTACTCCACCACGTTCTCTGGTTTCCAAATTTATCAAATTTCCGACCTGAAACACAAACATAGTCAAAAATCGTAAGATAAGACACATTTTCGAAATTATAGTTATTTGCCAGAAAACCGTCTACGCTCCTAATGTAGTTTTTTAGCCCACCATGTATATTTAGAATTTATACATAGTGCGTCGGATCTCGATTGCTCGAGTTCTATGATAGCTAGAAACCTGATTCAAAAACGAATGTGAATGAGATAACAAGGTCCATAACTAGAAATTATTGCTGCATATACAGGGCGCACCGAAATTAATCTAGAGGGTCGTGATCAATTTTTTTAATTGGAATGCCCAGTATATTTGCATATTTTTTGAAGCATTTCTGTGATCTTTATCCACTCCTATAATATCGTTGACTATATCTCTTTCGTATCAAAGTTATGAATTTTTTGGTCGAAATAATGTCATCTGCAGATGCCTACCGAAAATATCACTGTTGTCACAATTATAAACTTTAAGCAAAAATAATCTCAATATCATTTATTGAAAAGATGAGTGACATTTCTGAAAATGTTTCAGGCTCTCAAATGATACAGGGCGGCTGAAAATGATTTTTCAATTATCGGAACTTTTCGAAGTGATTTTTCACGAGTTTTTCAAATGGAACACCCCATATATATTATTTGACCATTTGATGTAAAATCGAAACACGAACATATTTATTCGAACATCCATATCGATATTCGCAACCATTTTTGAACTTTGAAAATTTTAGGTTGGCCATTTTCATCGATACACATTCTAATCTGTTATTGAAACATCAAAAGTTCAATCAACAATTTAGTAAACCAATTTTTCATTGAAAGAATCGATGTCAGAGCCAAAGCAGACATGGATAGGTCATAATTATGCTAAATATTTACAAAGTAGAGACGAAAAACAATGCATTTCTCAATTATTCTGGTTTTGCTTTCAATGTGCCATGAATTTATCTCTTATCTCTTTTTACTTTGTGAATAACTAGCATATGAACTTTTTCTGTTTGCTTTGATTCTGGTATCGATTTTTTC